GTCGTCCAGCTTAGTATTTAGAGCATAAATAACTTTGGTTAATTGAGCGATTTTCTTGCACATCTTGACAGCGATCTCATTAGGAGCATCCATCGGACTTCCAGTTGCGCTCTTGGTACTGGATTTACCAGCACTGTTATAAACTCGAGTTCCCATTTCTTTTTCAGTTAAAGTTGTATAATAAATTGAAGTTAATTTGTATTACATAGCCACAACTAAATCAACGAATCCCAATAGAAACTACTAGGTTGTTGTAAGTAGAGAGTGTAGAGTCTGTCGACGCGTGTCAACTTTATCAATCGGAAAGCTTAGCTCACGATTAAATATTCTTTCTTTGGATTATTGCGATGATAATGAACGTGTATTATAAATAAATGTGGTAGTTTTATAATTGTACGATTTCCAGTTGTTGCATCAATATTTGATCGATTTGCCTACAATTCTATCTTACCGTTTATCGTCGATTACACACTTACTCGTCCATCAAAAGTTTCTATCATATTACCAGTATTTCTGTGCGCATAGGGAGGTATTACTCTAATCGGGTTTGATTCGCATGAGCTGCGTTAGTAGTTGTTTAAGTAGATATTATGCATATTATTATTATTTATTTGTTATTGAGTAATTAATGACTATGTTACTACAGCCCCATGCTAGAGCACTGTTTCTATATACAAATTACAACGAACTTTAGAGGTAAACCACAGCAGGAGCTGTTTTGTTTTTCCCGTTGCCATAGTAAAGAGTACATCTGCGTACTTGGTGTCTGACATTCAATCCATTTCCGTTCGATGTCCGGTCTCTAGTCTCAGTTTGTATTACGCTATTGGATTAGTATTATGTGCTTATTCATCTCTATTTTAATGCTTTTCCCTTGATTTTATGTTATTTCTTACTTTATTATTAAGTCAGCCATAATCTCAGAAAATAATGAAAAAAAATTATTTTAAATGCGGGCTACCGTTCCCGTTCATATCTGAGAAGTATGATCAGTATACAGTATAAATATCGCCATACTGGATACTGTATGACAGAATAGCACTACTACAGTAATCGTGAATAAGATACTGTTTTATACTTTACTCTCTACATATAAAAAAAGAAAATTAAAATCATCTTTCGCATCATTATAGCACTACACAGTGATCCAAGAATCAAAAAATATGCCGAGTAAACCCTTCCTTAATATGGATGAACAGTCATAAATTTCTCTTACTTGAAGACTGTACTGTGTCTAGTACACCACTACATAATGATACAATACTAGACAAGAGGACTGCTGACTGGTAGTCAGTGTCGGCGGACTGGTGCATTCTTAAGTACTTACGCATGCGTGGTATGATCCATTTTTCATGAACAAGCGTAAATAGCGTCAATTCAATATGGCGACGGACGCCAAACATACTGGGCTTTCAAGCTATAAAAAGGCATTTACATTATCCAGAAAGGTACCTATAAATTTTTAAGTTGATTTGTTGTCTATTTTACCTAGTTGAAATATGGAAAATCAATGACATTGAACTAAAAGCGTCTCCTTCATAGTAAAGTCATTAATTGAGGCGTTAATCAACTGATGATAACAAGGAATAATGAACTCTTGTATGCTATTGTCGCACTATACGAGATAGTGTTGAGGTTAACCTTAGTCAATCGATTGCTAATAACTCAATGTATTTGCCATGCAATTCGACATCGGCGCATTTACTTACACATATGCAAATAATATAATATTAATGGCAGCTTTATCTCCAGTATTGAAATAGATATGGTATGTACATTCTAGTTCTAAAGGTACTCGAAACAATTTAGTCTTTCCTTGCACGCATCGTGCATGAACATTACCCACAGACATTGGCCGATTTTTGCAATACCGTGCAATAGTAACCCTATACCTTAGGATTTATATTATTTTTTTAAAATACAGATAAGTTATATTATTAGATCAGTGTCTTTGTAACCCTATCCTTTATTCATGTATAATCCCATGATGACTCGTTTTATTATCTTATCGCTTATTATGAATATAATAAAAATAATCAATCGATAGACGTACTTGTCGATCATCACGGGCAATCGCAAATATTTTCTTTTACTCATATTATCATAGGCATACGCTGAACGATATATAAGTTTGCAGATCTCTTCATACTACCCCACCTGTAGTTTCCATTAAATAAACATCGATCTGAATGTTGTTGTTTTAGTAACAATTTTTTTGGATGTCATGGTAGTACTATCATTGTTAATCTAACCATTTTTAGTATTTCTTGATATCAATAAACTCCAAAATTTGTTGTTTCCTTTTTCTATCACCTTTCATTGATGCCTTCGCTCTATTCTTCGTTTCAGTGCTCTTATAGCCATTACGTGTAATAGGTATATACTACTTTATGTGGTATTGCACGCAAAGATAAGTGTATGATATACGCTTATATGTTAGATGTATTGTAATTTTACTTTCGTTGAGGGGCTAATTTGCAGTTACTTTGGTGTAAAATTTAATATTTGAGTTTACGCGTTGTCGAGCGTCGATAAAATAATGTTATGCAATCGATCGCTTGATATGTAGTATTATCCATTCACTCTACATCGATGCATTATGTGTAAATGCTAACTGGACGGATTACTAGCCTTTCTACTCTTTTATAATATTATTATTCCTTTATATTCCTAGTCTAACAAATTTATACCTGATCAAAGAGTATTGGCACCATTCGATGGTAAAGTGATCGTATTGTTTGGCCCACTATTAGTAGTACGAGACCTCATCTACAATATGGTTCAACAGCAGCCTGTTCTATTTACTGACATTATCTCACGTAAGATATCATTACACAATCGCCGTTATATATCTATCAATATATAAATAATAATGTAATGACAATATATAGTTTTGCCCATATTTTATGAAATCTTTCACTCCTACACTATGTTATCTAAAAACGATATTATACGAACACCATAGTTTTGCATGCGTATGATTAAGAGCCAATACTATATAACGAAAATCTAAGTCTACTAAAAAGATAATACCTTACTTAGAATAAACACAGGAGGGTCTATAAACGCAATAAATTATTTGTTTACTTGGTAGATATAACTACAACACTACTGTAAATTTTAAGAAAATCCATGAGATCAACAAATTTCATCGTAGCAATAGTTCATACATTTTATTTATACTATTCAATTCCGACTTTCGCTGCTACAATATAATTGCGTGTTCTCCGTATTGATCACCAGTCTATTCTTTATTTGCTGTTTAATGCTATCATGCTGCATTGTGGTACTTATTGTAAATGCAAGTTTTATAGGACATTGCTATTCATATGGCGTTCCTTCGCATTGTTAATCAAAGCACTGATGCTATAGTACTTTAGTTTTTTGATCCAGCTGCAGCGAAAGACAACACAAGTTGAAAACAATTAATAAATAAAATTGACAAACTCAATCCCTGGTCAAATCATTGAATATTAACGCGAATGTATTGTTGAATAATAATACGGTTACTCTGTAGATACAACTAGGCCACCAAACCCCGACGAAATTGATGGATTGGATTACTTCTTCGTCAAACGTGAAGATATGAGTATCGATGCACGAAATGGAGAATTTATCGAAATACATTTCTTAGGAGATGGCAACGATATGATTGGTATTTCTTATACTGCTTTTGAATATGCTACCAAGACTGGAGCCGAGAATATACTTGTATCTACTGATGTTGAAGGTATGTTCAAGTATATTACTACATGTATAATTCAATATTGGCATCTATTGAAATTCTATTCTTTAGAACTGTTATATTAACCTAGAAGGGACATTTTACAATAAATTTAGGAAATGAGCTGGTAAATCATTTTTCATTTTTTAAATGTATTTATTTTACTTATCCGCTACGTAAGGTATGAAAGGCTTGCATAGCGCTGGATTTGAGGCTTACTACATCCATATTACGGTTAGAATTGATCTTTATCACCATTATAACTCTTTGTCTGCTATTTCAATTGTATTATTTTTTAGTTTTATTGTCCATATTTGCAGATGTTTACCTTCTTGCTATTGATTTCTTAATTTCGTTGCTACATAAGCGACTGTTATATTGAAGTGAATTTCAATTGTCTACCAAGTTATCAATTAAATTGACGACAATTATTGCATTTGACTATTAAAAACTTAGGACGGGAGCGATTACGACGATATACCTGATAGTTATTATGCCAAAAGACTTGCAATTGAACCAAACTTATACAACGAAGTTTTACAACTTGCGATGGAAGGTAGATGAAATGATAAAGTTGATAACTTTCGAGACAATATCTGTTTCTATCCTAAATATTGATGATATAAAATTTTTAATCGAATGTATTAGTTTTCTTTTCATACTGTGTAACTTGCATAATTACTACCCTAGTTTCGGAATCAGAAAATGCAAACGGTGAACTTCCGTTAGCCCAAGCAATCTCGGAATGGGATGCCGTAACAGAGGCTCAATCCGGTAACAATGGTGAAGGTGCGTTAAAGTTAGATATACAATTTCGTAATGTTACCTTTACTTTTGATGTATTTACATTGTTCGACTTGTTATCGATCACGATTTCGCTTCGTAAAATTAGTTAATTACACTACTTTATACGATTTATATTAGAACTAGCAAGAACTCAAAATCAAGCTCTATTAATGTCGTTCGAAGACGCTCTCAATTTTGCTAAACAACAGAATCTAGAAATATATGCAGTGAGTACTTAGAATTTATATTTATTGATTTTAATAACTTGTTATATAATTTGATTGTAATAATTAGTTAAGTAAGGAGTAATTTTACTTTTAACTATAACTAATAAAATATCAAAGTAAAATAAATTTAGGCGTATCGCTTACATTAAATTGACTTTTCAATATATTGTATTATTGAGAATGAGTATACTAAATACTTAATAAAAGATTCAGTTACTGCTGCTTTTAATACACTGACTTCAACTTTTATTGATACTTAATAGAAGAATATAAAGTCAACTATACCTCGAGGAGGATTTGCGTCGATTTTAAGAAGCGTGGTAGGGCCACCAAAATTATCCAAGCATTTACATGAAGAAAGAGACTTCGTATTTATTTTGGCTCAATGTAAGGAGGCTAACGACTATGAGAAACAAATTGGAATTCATTGACTACTGCCTATGATATTGCTGAATGATCATTTAACCTAATTTATCAATACTGTAAGGGCCATTTGACAATGAAATGCCAGAACATTTCTGGATCTTACAAACGATTTATAAGAAGTTGACTAGTAAGCATTAAGCCTTTTATAAAATAAAATAACTACGTTATGGGTCAATTCGACTGCATCCACCTTTTCTCAAGATGCTATTGCTAATTTTCAAATGTAAAATTGTCATAGATGTTAGCCATAACTGTCAAAGATACGGTAATCATTGGCAGGATATAGGGTTTCAAGGTAAGATTTTGAACAAACTAAGTTGTACGTAACGTACAGTAACTACACTGTCAATAAATTGAATATTAGCACAATCAGCGATATTAACTGATACCTTTAAGTCTATTTCAACGCTTAAGAATTAACTATTACAGCACATGTTCTATACAATACTTTTAAAAGCAACCTAAATTTCCTTTGTAGGTAGCGACCCATCCACCGATCTAAGAGGTTGCGGATTCTTAGGATTATTAACTACTCTCTACTTTGTTACCAATCCTGAACTTGGCCGATTGACAAAAGATATTTACCGCCTTTCGCAACATGAAACCCAGGTATCATCGGCAATAATAAGCTATTAATACTCGATTTTATCTTTCATATTTTTATGTAATAAATTATTCCTACTGATTAAAATGTTCAAATTGAATACTTTCATTGTAGAATTTTCCCTTTTGTGCTATGTCTATAAACATGTCCAGAGTAGCGATGCATGCACTAAGAGAAGAAATGTTAACAAGGTATCGATTTTGTAGTACATAAAATTATTTGAAATCGTGCCGTATCGATATGCATTATTATGTACTACTTGGCTAAAAAGGTGTTGATTACTTACTGTAGAGTGAATTAAAGCTACTTCACGATTTTAATATTATCTTCAGATTTTCAACAATTTTAATGACATTATTAATAATCCATTATATTATGAGTACTTTTAATGCACAATGCTAATTCGAGGCTTTGAATTATAGAGAATGCAACAGAAACGGAAATGTTATTAATGTGTTCTGTGAATTTTATGCTGCTGTCTTCTATTATATGTATCAGTTATGGTTGGTATCCAAATTGTTGATCTTTTTACTAGCTCTTACACTTTGATATGCACAATCACTTGAGTTAAAATAAATCTATTTTAACTTTTAATTCACAGGAAAAAGCAGAAAAAGACTATAGCTGATGCAGGTTTCCTAATTAATGGTAAATATTGTTTATAATTGCAATTCATTAAGATATTAGTTACGTCTCGATAGAGGAAAATAACTTTAAACCTAGATAACTGAAAATACGAATTAATCTTATTAAGATTGAGTTATTCTTAATCCCCTATAGCCGTGATTTATTCCTTGATATTTCTTTTATTTTGATAAAATTTAAGAACATATTATCCATAAATTTATTCTTAATTATTTATAGATGTATCAACTTCTGCAAAGAAAAATCCAGCTAAAATATTAAAAAAATTTCGAACAGCCGTTAAATTATTAAGCGATGATCATAGGCAATTACCAGAAGTACCAGGCAGGCTAAACACAATGCCTGACGTTTATGGGATCCAATATCAGACAGGTAGCTTCCAAGAGAGGGAAGTTGTTGCTCGTGATACTACTAGCATATCCGCTTCATCGGAAGATAACGAAGTCCGAGATGATGAACAACAAGAAGATGATGCTGCGCATGAAAACCAAGTTAGTTCGGAAGTAGTTCAAATCGAACACCAAGGAAGAAAGTCGACGGTTGATGATTTTAGAGTGAAGGGTACCGACATTACTAGCAACACTCAACATTACGTTAAAAGTGAAGTAGTCAGTGATCCCTCATCTCTATCAAAGACTCACTCTGTGGTCTCTAACATATCCGATAGCTCATCTTCTGATTCACAAGATGATCATTATAAGCCTGAAGTTAATAATCTAAAAAATTATGATGGATCAGATAACATTCATAGGGTGTCATCCGGGCGTGAAGCATTGGATGTTACAGAGACTGCAAGTAATCCACGATCTGTGCATATCAAAGATCAATCATTGTCAGATATTGGGGTAGTTATTAGAGAAGATGATCCTGGCAAGGTTGATAGTCAAGATTCACTGAAATTTTCTCACGCTTCCAAAACTCTAATCAATGGTAGTGATAAAGTAAATGATAAAAGCATGGAAGACAAGAGAAAGACTAGCAACCCAGGATATAATAATACCGATAGAAATTTTATGAACGCGATTTCATATCGTAATGGTAGTTCAAAGATTCAATACGAAAATGAGCGTGCTGTTGATACCAATAATGTTGAAGATTATACTGGTAAAGGTTCGCAATATTCTGCTAATGGCGCAATAAATTCAAGATATACTGAGACAGTACCTTCAACAGACAACCATGCAGTAACAGTTCATAAGAAATCAGAAATGAAAACTCCCATGAATGGTGCTGACATAAAATATAGTGAATCTAGTAAATCCGAGATGTCGCGGAGTAATAATTCTTCCATAAGTGATATGACAAAGTACGCAATCGCACCAGAATTTAACGGTTCAAGAGAAAATAGTTTTGATATTGATCCTAATGTCGAAATCACCTTACAAGTAGATAGTAATATTGACTCTTATTCATCGTCAGATTCTAATAATTGGGATAAAAGCTCAACTCATTTACTCCGAGGAAGTAGCACAGATTACAACACAGTTGCAGAATCTACTTCTATTAAAGCTAATCAATCAATTATCGAAAAACGAGTATACGATAATGAGGAAGACATCGATGATATTGAATACCTGGACGACGATTGCGTCTAGAAATACTGTTGCTCGAAGCATACTATGGACAGAACGGAATTTTTGTATTAATCATTTATCAACGCTTAAAATTTGCTTTTAAAATACCGCTTATTTTGTATTATATCGAATTTTTTTGTCAATTTTATTCTGGATATGCAAAGTTTTTACGTGTGTATATGAAGAGAAGGATCGAGTGTCCGAATATTTGTGGATTATCTCATCTTCATACAATATACTTACTATATACATTTTGAATTATTTAATCTCTAATACTGATTATTGTTTTTAATATAAACTAATACAACAAGAGAAAATTAAAGGTTAAAAGTAGCCTTAAATATGTCACTATAAAATATCTCAATATCATATTAATAAGAAAACCTTACACCAACCAATTTCAATTTAGTGCTCATAAAATTTTCTGCCTTAACCAGCAATTTTGATGTCAATAACGTTTAAACTGTTGTCTTGGTAGCTTATACGTTATCCCTATATAGACGTATGGGGACGTAGTTAGTTTATAAATTATCTATTTAAATTGTTGCGTGTGAAGGCCACATCTTTTAATTATTCCATCCATTAGTTTGTCATAGCCATTCAACTAAGGCTTAATATTGTATATTTTGTTCGTCAAGATTGAATAACAACGGCTATTGCAATAAAATCTTAGAAGTTATTATTAAGTAATAGGCCAGCAGAAAAATTTTAACTTTCAATTTGAACAACTATGTTGCCCAATGTGACAATAATTGTAATTGTACATAAATATATCAAGTATACATATGTAACATATACATTCATTCAACATTTATGTTTGTATCAAAAGTTTGTTTAAGTAACGTATGCAATACTATTAAACGATTAAGATTTTTTAATCAGTTTATAGCTCATGTATTGCCCACCTATACGATAAAAAATCATTATCTGTTTGGGTAGTCAGTTACAATGCTAATATGTTTGAAGAAGTTACGAATACAGCTATGCAATTTATGATCTTGCGCATATGGCTTTATTAATTTATAATGTGATCATTGACAATCCGGTTACTTGACGTAGCCGATCACCCTTAGCTCTAGTAGTCCATCCAAAAGTACCTGCATACGCGTAGCTAGCAATGAGTTTATGTTGCCATTAAGCCATCAGATAATATCTAATTAGCTGCCACTAAATAGTAACAATAATTAAACAAGAGATGCAGTACTGTACTGAATACTTGTAACTCCAGGGACTAATCCAAGTAAAAGTAGAATATGACTTACTACCGTAGTCTCCACTACTGTAGACTAGCTCAATAACGAGCTAAAGTCGGGTTTTTTAATTTAATTTATTTAGTCTATTGTATCGCTATTGAACCCTTTGAGTGACTGATATGTTGAATAAAATTGGCGACTCGGAGCACTGTTTGAGCAGTATCATTTTTACTTTGAACTACTAACGCCATCGATCAAAGCCAACAAGCACCATCATGTATGTATTGGATAGTTCAGTCTTTCAGGCTCGCAACACGGTCTAAACCGTATCGTCGCTACTGCCTGTCTGGCCTCTATCAAGGACTGGATGAGAAAATTCTTACTATACTCAGTGTACTGTCTACTGGGAGTGTACACGTACGTAAAGTAGGAGGTAGAGTCGCCACTTAGAGGTCAGTACTGTACACTGTACAGCGTGTCGAATTTCGACTTTCCTCTTTCTACACGTGTAAAATTTCTTAAAATTTTATACATGGAGAAAGAGGAAGGTCTAAATGCTACTGATTTATCAAAAACTCAATAGAATCCATCAATTTTGGGCACTTTTATTTCATTTTGAAAAATCTGAATACTGTAGAATTTCTGTTCGCTGTACAGTACAGTACAGAGGTGAGAAGAAGAGCTTGACACTGTACAGTACTGTACTAGTGTACTGTACAGTATGTACTGTACCTCTACCGCTTCCAGTAAGCGGAGAGTACAGTACTGCACACGCGTAGTCCTTGTACAGTACTGTACGGTACAGAGGTTAGAAGAAGAGCTTGACACTGTGCAGTACTGTACTTCTACCACTTCCAGTAAGCGGAAAGTACTGCACATGCGTAGTCTTTGTACAGTACAGTACAGAGGTGAGAAGGAGAGCTTGACACTGTACACTGTACTGTACTGTACTGTACCTGTAACTTACTGTCTGTAAGCCTGGAGCACTGCACATGCGTAGTCCTTGCTGTCGAAACCGCTGCTAGCAGGAGTCTGGACTGTCTGGTGGACAACCATCAAAAAGGCTACGCCTAGAAATTTCAACTGGCCGGTCGAATTAGGAAATCCAGTGGGCATCGGATCCTGTGTTGCCTATTTGATATCGACAAAATATCCTCAACATCCTCGCTCATCTTCCAGCTATCATTAAGCATTCGATCGTGCACAGAATTCCCGTTCCAAAATGCATCATTTGCAAAAGATCCAGGACAAGCTGTAAGAGTTGTATTGCGCTAGCGACATCACTACCACCTCCGATAATATTGTACTGTACACTGTACAGTATAGTAGACAAGTTGATGGAGTAGTAGGCAAAATGGATATGACACCTTGAGTTCCATCTGTTGCCGCCGTACCTTAATTAAAGTAATCTTCATTCAGGAAAGCTATCCATAATGCCAAAGACGAGATATACTTTATTTTAGTGACTAGAAAGCCTTAGTTAAGACCTTATCGTATAAAATTTCTAACAAATAGATCAGAAACAATTTATACTTTTGTCTACGATGTTGTTTGCAACGACGATCGATGTCGAGGAAGTAACGTAGATTTTGTTGCTGTAGCTTTAGTTATTATCAAGCTTGATATCTGTCTTCTTTGACTCTAAAAGTGCGAGTAGTAGGATGTAGAGGAACAGATACTTGTGCATTATTTTCGTGAATGAATAACCTTTACTGTGTATCCATTTAGCACCGATGTGGTGATGAATTACTCAGAAATTGAAAAAAAGGTTAAAGAAGCAACCAATGATGAGAAATGGGGTCCCCATGGTAGCCTTATGTCAGAGTTAGCCAAATGTACTTTCACTTATGAACATTATCCAGAGTTAATGTCTATGTTATGGAGACGAATGTTTAATGATAAAAAAATTTGGCGTAGAACATACAAGGTAAGCCTTGATACGATCTAGGAGATCATTGAAAAGACACTTCCTACTCTACTCGATGACCTAATTCATTTGTAGTTTATTCGATATCTTCTCATCAACGACTCTACTGTAGTCATGAAAATAATCGTCTTTGACGTATTGTAACTATTATATCAACAGCTAATTTTGATATTATTTTTTCTTTACCAACTGCGACTTTGGCAATGTTCTGCTTTACCCATGGATAACTACCAACCTTAGTCTCTCCTTCTACTTGCGTATTTAATAAGAAATGGGTCAGATCGTGTAGTGAACAACGCTAGGGAGCATTTATACGATTTAAGAAATTTAGAAAACTTTCAGGCTTTCGATGAGTTTGGTAAAGACCAAGGAATAAATGGTAAATGAATATCTCAATTTTTCTTGTCTTTAAAATAATCTTCCTATCTAGTATACTTCTGTACACAATCTCACCTACTATATGATACTCCTTTCCTTATTGCGAGTCTCACTAGACTAGCACCTACCTTTGTCAGTTCATAAGCGCTACCTTTCCGTCAAAAAATAAGTATAGTGTGAAAGCTCTTACCTTACATACTGTATGATATGATCAAGTAGAATCCTGTAATGATTCTCATTTCTCGACAATTCTTGACTAAGCAGTACACCGTAATTGCATGCAGTGTTCATAATTGACAAGTTCTGTCAATAAAAACGCATTCAGATCTCGCATACAAGTAGTACTGTGATTATACCGTACTTGCAAATGTTGTACGATACTAATAAATGATTATTAGTACAGTAGCAAACAGTTGCGATTACTTCTACCGTAATTTAAGTTTACCTAGTCATAACTCTTTTACTACATGCATGGCATTCCTAATTAGCATTTCGTGACCGGATGCCATTATTGTTTTTCAGTTCGACAAAAGGTCAAAGAAATCATCAATTTACTACAGGATAACGAACGACTCCGTCAAGAACGTAAAAACGCTAAGAAAACCCGCGACAAGTACATTGGGGTATCATCAAACGATTCGCGTTGGGGTAAATCATTTATTAGCTTGCAATCTTTCAGTACGAAAGATACCAAGATTGTAAAACTTTCACATTAACTAATATACTGTATAAATATTATACTGTGCATTGGCATAGTATTCCAACATTGAACAATTTAATTATATGTCTTTGTTAACTTTTTATTATGAAATCACTTGACATACACAATTTATTTCCAAGTTATTGACATTTCATTCCGTTTCAGTCTGTTCAACTTGTCATCTTAACAAGTATTAGTAATCAATAACAAATTTCTTATTGATGGAAATCGAATAAGAAAATTATTGTAGTTTATCACGCTATTACTTACAGCAAAGGAGTAAAAACACCACAAGAAATGTTGCATTGATTTGATAGTAAAGACATACAGTAAACAGTTACCGGTATATTTACTAAGTATACTCGTTTATCCGTATGCTTACGGTAACATTGCTCATATAGTATACTTCTAGTAGTAGCGTACTGCAATTGACGTATTATCGATAAGCAGCCATTTTTAAGTGATCGACGGAAATAATGAGAACATATGGCACACAAAATATCTACCGTTATATTTTAAAAAATACTCAAATATTATAATACGATATGGCAACATTCTGCTCCATTAGAGTTGGACATTGATCAAATTATTGAAAGATAACATTTTAGCAGTTCTATTCTGTATCATGTCAAATCTGGTAAAGTATTCTTTCTTTACCTCATAATAGGATCGAAAAGTCGATACGATACTTCGGATGATTACGATTTTAGAAAACCACGTAGTGGTGGCCGATTTGAATATAAAGACGAATCTGGAGATGAATCTGGGTAAAACATTTATTTTATCTATTATGGCTTGATTCAAATTAAGTCATTAAAAATTTAAATTGGCCTTGCTTTTGCTGCTTATACAACGGTTGTGACAATCGAATTCATCATTTCTAATACAGTAAGGAAACAAAAGATGATAGCTATTCACCGCCAACTTCACAATCTGAGAAACCTGCTCGAGAAAAATCGAAAGCAAAAATATCTCTTGGGGCTGCAGCAAATTTCGGAAGAACTGAAACTTCATCTGCGTCACCACCTGCCGCCTCAGCAGCTACGGAAAGTAGTTCTACTGCTGCAGAATCGAGTGCGAACGGTGACTTTGCAAATTTTTCTGCTATGCGTGCTAAAACCAGCACTGGTGATGAATTTAGTGATTTTCAGTCCAATGTATCATCAAAAACAGAGAACAACCATGGCAGTGGCGGGGACTTGCTGGGCGATTTTAGTGGTCTATCTGTTTCACAGGTTATTCTTTCTGAATACTTATGTGCAGTGATGCATTATTGATAAACATCATTCTTAACTACTTTCTGATAATGGTTATTTTTCACGAACGTATATTACTTTAACTTTGCTACCTTACAAATAATTTCTGGTAAATATTGGTCATTTTTTTGGATCACAATAGACTTCTCAGTCGTCAATGTATAATTCTGCCCAGATACCTCAAATGCAGCAATCGCAGCAAATGTTTAATGCTCCTCAAACTGCAAGTGCTCAACCAATGCAAGCATTCGGAGTGATGCAACAACCGCAGATAAATCAAAATTTATCTCAAGCAGGGCAGCCGTTAATGGGTCAAAGCACTCAACCGATGCAGCAACCTCCAATGGGCCAGCCATCTCAGCAGATACAACAGCCACTAATGGGACAATCATCTTATGGTATGCAATCGCCTTTAATGGGACAAACATCACAACCATTACAGCAGCCTTTTATGGGCCAGATGTCTTCATCTGTGCAACAGCCTGTAACGGCTACTTCGGTCCAAGGATTCCAGCAGCCAATGATGGGACAGCAGACATCTCAATTCATGCAGCAGCCGATGCAACAGCAAACAGGATTTGCCGGACCACAACCGAGGCAACCTGTACAATCAAACTCTTTTCAAAGTATGGCAAATAGAAACAAAGGGAAAACTGATTCACAGACAAATCAAAATCAAGTAAGCCACGATAAGTACGCTATTTACTCTTTTTTGTGATTTTATTATAAAGGAATTATCCTTTTATTTCAGGATCTATCCAAGACTGGTACAATCTGGTCAAACTCTAGCTTAGATATTAGTCTAGATGGCTTGAAATCGTCCGGTCAAAGTAAGCCACAACCCTCAGTAAGCATGAATCAAATGCAACAGAGCAATTTTACTGGTTTTCAGGGACCTCAGGGTTCAAATTTTAATCCATCAATGGGCAATATGGGTATGATACAGCCTAACATGATGAGTGGAGGCATGATGGGACAACAGCAACAAGTCATGGGAGGTAACTCTATGGGTGGACAAGGTTACGGTCAAAGACCTTATGGATACTACGGACAACAACGATAAACCTCGTAGTTTCCGATGTAAATACTGTTAGTGATAAATCACGAATTGATTGTAATCATTGTATTGAGACACTCTACAAGGACAGTAATTACAATTCTATTCTCCTACTGTATGGGCGCTTTTATATCGCCAAGTTTTGTAGTAAAATTATATATTGCAAAAATTTTCTACCCTAATTTAAAGACATAAACTGTATTGATAAAGATTTGAATATTAGATTTAGCCTTTGCCCATCCATTCGTGGATAACTAATTCGCAACATGAAGAGAGTACTTGTAGCAAAGAACAAACCCAGTTTAACAAATAACCTAGAAAAATTCTAATTAATGTGCTGGCTAAATATTTTATTGCACTATTATGTGACGATACACAATAACGATAACGTCCTAGTTTATTTTCAATATTCATGATGTACTTTAAAATGCAGTCAAAACTGATGATACTAAGTTTTCATGCAATGCTAAGGTATACAAGTGTCTTTTACCTAATTTGATCGAGCTGTGTCTAGATACGTTGTTAATCTTTACATTTATATAAGCTTGCATAATTTGTAATGAAAAATAAACTAGGTAAGGCTTTCGCTACTGTAAATTCTCAGTTTAAGAATGTACTATATAAAACTTGTATGTGTGCTTAGTTGTGAATGTATGAACTGCGTCGTACGTGATCCTAATTAATTATAGTAATTGATTGTGCGTTAAAGTATGATTATGGCAATTAGAATAACTTCTTTATTTGATGAATAAACTTTTAATTTAAATTTGATCTGATACTACGGATTATCAAAAATACGTAAGACTTATCAGAGCTGAATACCACGTTAGCGTCAACTCAGCATTAAAACTTACTTAATAATTATAACCAATTTAAAAGGTGTTTGTATGCTCGTATGTAGTTTCATATACTGTAAAGTCCAATTTAAATTTTCCGTTTTCATCGATCTACAAATTTTGATTTAGAAGGTTGCAGCTGAAGGATTTATATGAGGCAATCGATAATCTAATTATTTCGCTTTAGCATGCAAATGGTGATATACTACGTGTAAAAAGCAAATCTAGTCTACTTAAAGCTATAATCGTTAATATATAAAGCCGAGTGGCTTTTGTAAAGTAATAAAATCAGTATTGGTAACCGGTTTAAACACTGTTTTAATTATCTTTGAGTCCGCGGTTTGCCCAATATCATTCAATATTGCTGCCTTAAACTTTTACGCATGCATGATCAATAACGTACATAGCCTAAATTTACTGTCAAGTAGAAAATTATTAAAAGTTTCATTTGTGTGGTAATACAGATACTATCTACTAGAAGCGTGGATATACTTAGCATTTAACCCTGGTTATGAATACAGTACCATTACATGAGTACTTGAACTATTAACAAAAATTAAGTCTTGCTATTAAGAACCATGGCCAAATCTTTGTCATAATTATCATCAATTTACAAGATTAGCTTTACCAAAAGCTGTGTTGGCAATCGATTGCATAAAAGTCAGTAATCATAAGATTTAGTAATGCAATATTTTTAGTTAATAAAGTAGGTTAACAACAGGTCGTAACTTGCATATTATGTTATATTTCTTGCCTGAAGTAGAATCCTTTTGTCAACTAGCGATGGAGATTGCGCTATACTGTAAAGTATCCATTATTATTGAAATGGGAGGTATCATAAATTCTAGGTATATATTATATCTTAAAGATTTTGTTTCCTTGATAAATAATACGCAATGATCTATTTATTTCATCCAAATAATTTATTAAGTTAATTGCAGCTCAAAAGAAATTTGTAGCAACGCCTTAACAAGTCAGCTGGAGCATATACCATTTCTAACATACGTAGTATTGCATTTTTACTACATCTATTTTAAAAGACTTCAAGTATGTTCCAATAAATATAAACTAATGAGCTAACAGTTATCTCTTTAAGATAGAGCTCCCAAAAGGGAAATCACATTTTGCTGACTTTGGATTAATTAACGAGTGCTTCGCGTATATATTTAGTAATTTGTGGCACTTAATAGCCTAATATCACCGATTTACTTTATTTAACTTCTGTATTTTACTAGATAACCATTTTTATATCAAAAATAAATCACAATTACCGTAGCACTACACACGAAAGTATTCATTGACCATTACCGGAGTACCTATAAAATTATCATATTATTGGTTGGAAGTCAACAATAACATTGACAGTATAGGTAACATAGTAAACATTTGAAAGAGAGTAGATAATAAATAAGAGGGGCTAATTGAAGCTTATTGCGACTTAGAAATAGCTATTAAACGAAATATAAAAGGAACTAGAAGAAAACGGTTATTATTAAGGAAATAGTGGCATTATCTTCTTTTTGTACTTTAACGAACTAATCGGAAGATGATCATAGATAAAGATCGCAATCATCTTCAAAATATGTCATTGTTTAGGACGTATTTTTTTAAGTTACTCGTAAAATTCACCTGGCTGGTATAATTTTTTTCAAAACGGTTAACAAGCGCAGCAGCAGTAGGTGTTCCTATTCGATTATTCCGTCACAAAAGCTTAATGGAGTAATATGTACATAATCTGATAGATGATAAAATAGCATAAATTATTTTGAAAATATTAATTGGATAAATAACGATTATTTGTCTTATTGTATCCTTTGAGACTATTTACATTTGTCTTGCCAGAAGAAGCTCACAATAGACCCAGTTA